AGTGGGCCTGAAGGAGACGCGACTGTGACGGAGCTTACAGGAAAATTCAGATGGTTGAGCTGAATTCAGGATAATAAGAACAAAGTGACACCCGAACATCAGACTAAGTGGTCGTGGTTTGTGGGAGAGTCTAACATGAACATTTGTGTTTGTTTCTTGTTATTTACATGTGTGCGGTCTGTTCTGATGTGGGGCTTGGGGTAACATTTGGTACAAATCCCTGGTCAGAATCTGTACATTAAAAAAGTCAGCTGTACAGGACAGTTCCAGAAACATTTGGACATTCAACATGTCCATAAGTTATGCCCACATTCTCCCTGTAGAAACTGGTGACGTGTGCAGGCGGTTTCCAGCCCAGGGGAGACCGCCTTACATGTTGGCTTTATCCTCGACCTCTTAAAAAAATAAAATAAAAAGTCCACAACAAACCCCCTCATGTTTCAAAAATTAGACTTGTCTCCTGCCTTCTTCTGCTTGTGTCTCTTCTAAGCAACTCACTGTGGTGTATTGTCACTACGTGTTCAGATTCAGAGGTGTCAGGTGAGTCGCACCTCCCAATCTTAGTCTCCTTGCTGATGAACAAATTGCACGCTGGCATGCGTTTTGCTACAATACCTTCATGTTCTTCATTCACTTCCCAAGAATCCACACCTTCCCATCACTTTTCCCATGTGATCAATAACACAAAACCAAAATGATCTTTCATGCTTCTGGAAAAATCGCCATCACTATGTATGTGGGAAGAACACACCCCTGGTCACCTCTGAAGACAGGCCTGGGTGAGGACCAGGAGGCGGCATGTGGCTCCCTGCGTCTGGCTCATCTGTGGGAAAACTGCACCTGCACCACTGACAGCCTGGACGCTTGCCACCACTGATGCCAGCCAGGTGGAAAGACGAGTGCAGCTGTGCATCTCTTGTTGTTGAAGGGAATTCACTACAGAAACGGAAAGACCTTTTCTTTGATCCCAAATAGGTCATGATAACAATGCAAACGGTGGTGATGGGTGAGTGGCAAATTACAGTGTCCAGACGTGATTGCCCCGGAAATGGCCTCTGAAAGAAGCCAGGATGGTCCAAAATCAATAAACCAATGCCAGAAGCACCACACCTTTTTATTTATATTTTTCATATCAATGACAAAGGTGCTATGCTGGTGAGAAGTCGGTAGGCATCACACATTCAGGCTCATGCACCAGCTTACGCCAGTGCTGACGGACGACACAACAGACGTTGATTAACTCACGGGCACAGTTGAGACCGTGCCCATCAGGTGAGGCACTTGACAGCCCGAGGTACTGAAGGTGCGTAGTGAATGTCCTTTGGGCCATTATTTGCAGATTTGGGGTTGTCTGATTCTCACAAATTGGGCAGCAAATTGACTCTTTCCCCCCAGTCAGTTTAGTTACAGCATGAGGTCTGGCCTATTAATAGCTGATATTCTTGTTGGGCAAGTAAGTTGAATGCACTGAAATCCAAATTGGCTGTTACGATGTAGACGTAGGAGCATAAAAAAGAGAAGCCACAGAGTGTTCACGATGCTCATATTAGTCCACACCATCTCTTTATAGTAATAGAGTATTTGATTTACGATGTACCAGTTGACCCCAAGCACTGTCTCCATCTCTGCGTGTTGTCTGTCAAGTTGTTTTGTTCATTGCGTTTTCCCTCTGTGCTTTCTCCCCTTACTCTATCCTTAAACAGGAACATACTTTTATACATAAGAAGGTGTTGATATTGAAGATACACTTTGTTAACTCAGAAGATCTGGAAATTCCTTGGGGGTTAGGAGGATCCTTGCCAGGGTGCCCAGTGGGGATGATCAGAAAGGGTGTTCTCACCAAGGAGGAGGATTTGCAGGAAGAAGTGCCCACCGCAGAGGGACCGATGGTCCATCCTACACATGGGCTGTGAAGGGGAAAACCTGTCGCAGTGTTGCTCGGGAACAACCAGAGGAAGATGCTTCTACACTAGACGGATGCTAGGATGTATGTACTGATGGTCTGTGTGTGCATCCCTTTGATTTATCATTGAGGTTGGGACAGAAAAGAATCTGAAGAAAATAACCTTCCTTTGACATAACATTCCTGAAGCCCCTACCTAACGCTTCTGTTCCTTTGAGAGAAGGAAGGATAGAAACAAGGGGTGCCATCCTCTCCACTCAGTCGCTGATTCCCATGATAATCTTATCCTCAAACACCCCCAGACACACCCAGAATCATGTTTGGACAAATGTCTGGGATCCCAAGGCCCGGTCAAATGACACATACAGAGAGCCATCAGACTTCCCGACCCAAATTCCTAGCTCCTTTGGAGATATTTTAATAGTTGAAAAAGAGGGTCACAGCTCCTCTTCATGTCTATCTTGGAATATATTGGGTACATTAGGAAGTGGATGATAACCGCTGGCAGTCTGGAGTGTGCGCTGTGAGTAATCATGTGTGAGATTAATGAAGTACATGATATAAACAAGCAAGTTTACAGGAGGCTTCTACGGTCTTTTGCACATGAAATAACTGCAAGTACATCAAATATGATTTGGCTTTCCAAATAAACGGACACACATGGGGCGCTCTACACCCTGGATACACAGATTTCTCTCTGAAACAGCCTTAGGCTAAGATCTCATTGAGCCAAGTGTTGTTGAAATTTTTCTTTATACTGTTTTTCCTTTCTGGGAGTAAATATCAGAGGGGAAGATAATTCATATGTGATCTTAAGTGTCTGCCCAGTTTCACAAGATAAATCACTGATGCTCCAAAAGAAGGCTGGGTGCAGCACTGGAAGGTGAATGCTTCAACTCTCTGGTCGCTGATGATCATAGGCCTGCATGTAAGAAAGAACTTTATGGAGGAACATGAATGCACGTGTGCATGCACACATGTGCACATGCTCATCGTGCACACAAGCCCCCCCCCCACATAAATGCACACAGAGCAACCACAAAATAAGAAGGGCAGGGAAAGATGGCAGTTGAAAAGCAATGTACCCCCGGGACTTCTACTTTTCTGACACAATTTTCATATCAATGGGAAAATAGAAAATGTGAATAAGAGCTTGTTTTTCAAACCTTAGGGAAGATTCTATCTTTACCTCCAAATCCCAGTGTATTCTGCGAGAGCTATCAATTTAAGTAGGCTTTTAACATGAAACTCCTAGCTCACCTTTCCTTCAGGTGGGGAATGGCTTATGTCACATACATAATAGAATCTCTCCTCTTTGCCTATATCTTGAATGTTATAGAATTCTATAGCTTTACTATTTTAAAGTTGGAACCATTACCAAAAACTCAAACCTTTTTCTTCAGATAAAATGCTCCCCACTTCAACAATTTCCTTTCTCATCCCTGCAGCTGCTCTGAAGTTGCCTGCATGATTGTACTAATTTAAATTAATTCTTTTGTACAGAAATGATACTGGCTAGGTTCTTTCTTTCCATCATTTTAATAGTTTCTAAATGTTACTTCCCCTTAAGCTTCCATCGGCCACTAGCCAGATTTGACTAGTAACTTCTCCGTCACTTCCACACAGCTTAAAATCCATCTTGGGCCTTTATCTGTGCTTCTTGAGATGTCCCACCAAATTGCTTCCATGTAAGGGGGGTGTGCTTTCTGTTTTATGGTCTGGGATTAGCTCAGTACTTTTATGGAGTCTGTTTCTACGTGTACGTATGTTACTTGTCCACGAAGGGTCTGTCTTTGATGGGAGGATCTAGACTAGATCTATGCATTTTGAATAATGGCATCAGGCCCCTCCAATATTTCAAATCAATGCTCTCAATGATAATAAAATGGAATTCTGTAAGAAGCCTCAGTTTAACAGCCATCAGTCAGACTTAAAACAAAGATCTTAATATCATTCTCAACCATAAAATCAGTTGTTACTTAAATTAATTGTGAGCATGACTCATTGACGTGATTCCCCCCGATGACTTCATGGCACACATACTGCTTTCTGCTCATCATAACAGATGTGTTCCAGCGATGCTTCTCCACAGGGTGCCTTACCCAGCGGTGGTCCAAATGTGTAGAACTGGGGTACTCCGCAGAAAGAGAAGGGCTGTTTCTGGGCCCCATTCCTTCTTCATTAAGGTCTTGGCAGCCTTAGGACTTCCCCACTAGGTCTGTGTGAACAGTCTGCTCTACTTGGTTATGAATCTGTTCTCTTCTTTCTTCTGCAACCCTGTACAGATTCTACATAAATCATGAAGTTGGTGGGGGACAGGGAGGTGTGAGTTCATTGCAAACTATTGTAAAAAGGATCACCATGGTCATTAAATAAGGTGCATGGCGACTGCAGGGCAATGGAGCTACACCGCTGGCCCGTTAGGAAGGCGCCAAAGTCCTCTGAGAATGCTGCTGCCACTAAAATGCAGCTCTATTCAGAGACATTTTCCAGTCATTTCCAAGGAAAATCCCTTTACTTATATTTCCTTTAACACTATATTTAGCTTCAGTGCTGGTCACATGTATTAAACTGGCATCAAAATATTTATTGTTTCCAAAACTCATAGCCTTCCCACAGTTTGATGATCTCATTCCCTCAGGATATTCCAAAGCATGCCGTACCCTCGGAAGAGAATTTGTGAAAGATGAGTTCCAAGAACGTTTTGAACAAAAGGACAGTTGGGTTGGAAGCATGGTCTACCAGGGAATCACTGGGCCATTGGCCAAGCAGGGTGGAGCTGTTTCAGTCCAGCTCCTGTGTTTGTTTTGAAAAAACATTCTACTCTGTACAATGTACACCAGGGTGAGTGAGGAGCCGTGGATAAGAGCCAGTGCCTGGAGGGCAGCCAGGCTGTGTCCACACTCTCTCGGATCACGAGCGCAGCTGTGACTGAACACGTGTGACTTTCTCTAACCTGCCCCGGTCATGGGCCATTACAGATAGATTCAGAATCTACATCTAAATACCTGGATCTTCCCCACGGTCCTTAAATGAAATAAAAAATAGATCCCTACCCCCCACCCGAAGGTCCCAGGAAAATGTCCGGTAGCCTTCTGGGGGGAAGCCTACCTTTGGCTGTTGTTATAGGATCAGCACATGCCTTCTGAGAGCAGGAATGCGGTCAGTCTGACCCCAGGAGGACAAACGCAGAGAACCTGAGGCGTCCTACAAGCGCTTCCTCTTTGTGTTTCCCTCAGGTAGGTTTTCACGGGAGCCTGTGTGTGTTTGTTGAGGGTGGATCTTTGTGATCATAGTTGATTGAAAAGGTTAAGGAGGAGGAAGAGGTGGTTAAATCGGGCAGGAAAGGTTTCATTGACAAATGCAGGTGCGTTTAAAGTAAATTTTGATGTTCGTTTTTATTTGTGGGCTTAGTGACTTCTTCAAATGATTTTTGACTGCATCAGGTTTTTAAAAAAATCTAAACTAATAATAATATGACGGTGATGCCAGTAATCTTGGCCAATAGTGTTAGGGTCATCATTTTAAAGCAGGCTGCTAATTCACGTCTTTGCCTTTATTTCCTTGGATGTCCAGACCCCTGCGCAGTCAGGGCAGGCTGTCTCATTCTGAACACAGAACAACTCTATGGAGAAGGAGGGCGACCTATCCGTACCTTGACTGTAGAAGGCAACTGAGACCCAACATCTCAAGGGCTTGCCCAAGACCCTGAGGCTGAGGGGGCAGGGCTGGAGGTTGGAACCAGGGTGTCTCCCTCCAAAGCCACACGGGCTCTGTTCTCTGAGGCAGAGGGTTATCCGGCTCTGTCAAGAGGAATTTCCTAAGTGATTCTGGTCTGCACACAGATGCACTGTGTCAGGTCAGTGACGTGTCTCGCTTTTAAAACAAAACAATATCCCTCACAGTTGTCCTCTTGTGCGTAGATGGTGGCAATTTATTGTTTGCCAAGGCTTCTATCTCCTCCCTTTCTGTGTTCCATTGAGATCATGGAAATGCAAAGTAAATAGCCATGGAGTAAAATGCCTCAGAGAGTATTTATTTAAGAGTATTGTTCCAGGATATGCACGGAGATAAAGACTTTGTGTAATGAATGAGTGGCTCCCGAGGCCAAATACCAAGCAATCATTTTCTGTGCCCTGCGTGTCCTGGCCAGAGGAGGTCCACTACCTCTCCTTCAGGACGTGCCCTTAAAGAGGGTCACCTTGCCAAGGGAAAGCCGGGCCTCTGAATCCACAGGAGCAGGCAGGAGCTCAAGGAAAGGAGCATAGGAAAAACCCCTGGGCACTGTCCGTTTGTCACATGTCAAGGGGCAAAGCAGACAAACTAAAATCAGTTCAAGATCGAGCAATGGGGAGACCCAGTGTGCCTGCTGAGCCAGCATGCAGGGCATCAGGCGGGAGGGAAAGGCCCGCCTGGAAAGCGCAGCAAGGGGCAGCCTGGCAAGTCCTGCCACCGGACAACGGGCAGCAATAAGCTTGCTCCTCCTCTCGTCCTCTCGTTCTTCAAGGGCCCAAGGAAGGGATAGCAGGGCTTGCTCTCTGTGCTGTGCAACCTCTCCGAGAGGGCAGGGAGGGCTGCTGTCCGTGTGCTGGTGGAATCTGTCTCCACGCTCCCCTGTCCTCCGCAGATGAAAGCCGACGCACACGCAGACAGAACACCGAGAGCCTCGTTTGGAATGAAATACAAAGCAGGAAGCACACAAATGTCTCTGCATATTTAATGATTATTGACTTTTTAGATTGGTTTGAAATAAAAGCTTTCTGGATGAAATACAGATTTAGAAGGATTACTAAAAAGTACAGCTTGCGCACCACACTTACTTTACATGAATTCCTCGCATTTATGCATTAAGCCCTACCATTCCCCTAATTTCCCATAAACATGTATCTGCAGTGCAAATTGTTTTACTACTGAAAATGCCATCGATGCAACCTAATGGTATAATGAGCAGAGTTTTCATAACAGACCTATGTATTCACAATTGCATACGGAATGGGCTGGAAGGTGCTCGTGAAGAAAACACAATTAGGCAAGGTGCTGTCTTCTCCAGGGACCCAGGCTCATTGTTTTGCATAATAAGAAGGTAAAGAATTGAGTTTTATTGATATGGGAACACATTTCATTGTTCCTCTGATTTAAAATCTTCACCAAGTGAGTGGATTAGACCCCCCATTTCATTAAAGCAGGGTTACTGGCCCTGCTTCATTGTCAGTGTCCTGATTCGCCCTGAGAATCACTTTCCATATAGCTTCTTGTTACTTAATTATTACAGTGGGTAGTGAACATAAAACTTACATGGATCTCTTGCTTTGTAAAAATACACAGAAAGCATGGTCTTTATGTATGGGGTGAGGATATAACAAAAGACTGTCTTCTTCTTCTTTTTAATTAGATGCCTAAGTGGGTGAAACCTTGAGAGCTCACATACGACTTAAGAGATTTTTCATTAGTCACATGATTTTGGTTGTTCATACATATCACACCAGCTCTCAGGTCAGATGGATACTAAAGAAATGCCCATTGCATAGATGGGAAAATCGAGAGCATTAGATCAGTAACTCTCCCACGAAGAGAGACTGCAAATTGAAAAACCATGAGGATCGGACATGCTCCCGGCTTCTCATCGGCTCCTAAACCCAAGTCAATTAAAACAGTGGCAACGGGTTGCAATCAAAGTTTTTATTAATTGATATCACATACGGTGTTTTCAACTTCTCCTCTCTTATTGTGGACCCAAGAAAGCCTTATTTGTTTCTCTCCTGAATATTCTGTCCCACTTGGACGCTTGCCTGCTTCCCACAGATGATCCCTCACCTGTTGCTGCGGGCGGTGCAGCTGCCAGTGAGCGCTGGCTGCTCCAGGCCGCCCCCAAACCCACAGGCATGGCTGCCAAGGGACCAGAGGGCATACCTTCCTTTGACATGCTCTGTCCCTTTTTCTATCTATCCTGGGAAAGGAACACTTGCTGGTAAGTGTGGGAGAGAATCTAAGGCACAAGAGCACAGGGTCTGCCTTGTGGGGCTGCTGAGGGTGGAGAAGGCACCACGCGCCACATGCTACGGGGGCCCCTCCCCACCGGTGAGGCCACAGAGCTGGCCAGCTGAGATTCCTTTGGAAGGAGCAGGGTGCGGACACCCATCCATTACCTCATTTAATCTGCAGCCCACAGGTCCTCAGTGTGAAGTGCTCTGGAAGCAATACAAACCCTGAGAACAGAACTGCCGCTACCTGTTCCGGTTCAGCTGGGGTGGGGCCCAGCCTGGTTTACCACCCTGGTGATGTCCTGTGCGTCCAGGATGGAGAGCCCACTGCCCAGGCCCTGAGGGGGAGTGATGTCCCCAGCTTGCAGAGGCTGCAGGGGCCCAGAGAGGCCCTCTAATTAGTGCAGTCACACAGCTGAGTGCCGGAGCTCTGACGGCAGTCCTGGGCTTTCTGAGCCCAAAGTCAATAGCCGGCAGTCAATAGCTCTAGACTGGCTGAATTCCAGAACCATCCAAGAGGATTCTACAAGGATTGATGCCTGGACCCAGACTGACATCAGGCACCCTTATTTTCAAAGTCCCCCAGATGAATCTAATATGAAACTGGATTTGAATACAACCTCACTAATCTGAAAATGACCACCTGCATCAAAATTCTGTGGGGTGCCTGTTAACAGCATTCATTCTAGGAAGCCACCCCAGGTCCCCCGGATCAGAATACACAGGGCAGAGGCAGTATATGGAAAAGGATGTTCACACACACACACACACACACACACACACACACACACACACACCACCCCCCATACCTACCCACACCACACACATACACACACACACACACACAAAGTCACAGCTAACCACACGCATACACATACACACACACAGATGTCTTTTGTGGTTGACCTGTGTATTAAAAGAAAATGAATCTGGTGTCTCAGAATACACTTATTTTTAGACTGAAGACTCATAGCAGAAAATTGCACAGGATTTCTCATCTATCAGCAAAGATATCTAAGTATAGCCGTGTCTGTCATTCCCTAGCAGGCAGAGTTGTGGGTCTGTCTGAAACGTTTCTAATTTAGATTAATCTGGCTCTATTCTTCCTCTTCTGGCCAGTTAGGGCAAAATGGTAAAATAATCTTTGATGCACATTTTCTGAGCTCATTGACCCAGAGAGCAGGGCAGGAGAGAACAGGAAACGGGCACAGAGGAAGGAAAGGAGAAGGCACTGCTGAAGACAAGCACGAATGGAGGCTGGGAGCAGCAGCCCGTGGGGATGGCGTTGGAGGAGGGGAGCCGGGTGCGGCCGGGGGGCTGCAGAAAGATCTGGAAAAAGTGCATCAGGAAAGAGGAAGAGCATCCAGAGTCTCTTCAGTTTGGCCTGGTTGCCTCTTATTTGCTCTGCAACAGTCCTGGGAAGGACACAGCACGTGTGCCACCAACTGTAGGTGGCCAACGAGAACGCCATGGGTCAAAGGTCAAGGGCCCTGCCAGGTTTGTCTTGCCAGGAGGGGGTGGCAGAAACCAGAATCCCAGCCTCTGCGGGCCTTTTCAGTTTTGCTTTCTGTTCATCTCAGCTCGTGGAGGGCACGGGGGCCGAGTGCAGAGCAGAGTCGGGTGGGCCGCCTGCACCCGCACTGATGCCGCAGGCAACCCTCGGGGCCCCGCCGACCCCGGCCTCCCTGTGCCCAGTGGCGCCGGCGGGGTGCTGGGCAGCGGCGTCCCCTTTTCTTTTTCTTGCTGAAGGAAAAGGTGTTTCGAATGCCCGGTCCCTTGCGTCTCTTTCCCTGCTTGGAAGTGCGCATGGCCCGCCCTCCATGGTTGTCTGTTTCTCCGCATGTGCAGGAGTTGGAAGTGTCTTCTGTAACTGGACTTGAAGACATACCACCTCTGTCCAGAGCTCCGAGCAGATGGAGGTTTGGGAGTGAAGATGGACACGAACTTTAACCAAATGGAGCAAAAGACAGATTCCAAGTAGGCAGTCAGCACAGAGCCGGGCAAAGGACCTAGTATATGAGGGGTCAGGCTTTGCGCCGTTTGGGAGCGTACCAATAGCTTTGATAAATTTATCAAAATTGACTGCCCTTGTACTGTTCACCATGTAAGAACTTATTCACTATGTAAGAATTCGTTCACCATGTAAGAACTTGTTCGTTATGCTTCAGAAGATTGGAGACTGATGAGAATTAGGCTTGAGATGGATTAATGATTGTGCATTGAGCATTGACTCCCCTATATAGAATTTTATTGTTGTTAACAACCATTTGATCAATAAATATGAGCGATGCCCTCTCAAAAAAAAAAATTTATCAAAATTGAACACATTGCCATGTCCTGCACGCGAGATGCACAAGGCAGAAACACCTGCCCCCAGGTTGGGTGATTTTAGAAACTTCCGTTCATGGTCACTGGACCATTTTATGTGCCTACACTTGTCCCATGCCACGGATGGTGGCATAAAGGAAGCCGTAAGATTATCATGTTTTCCTCCCCTTATCTCTAATGCATGTTTTATGGGCCAAAAGTCCTGTCATCTGAGCAAGGCAGGAGTTAAAAACAGGGGCACAAAGATCCTGCTGTGTGTGCAAGTCTTAGAAATCTGTTTTCCTGAACAAACAAGTTAGTTGAAAGAACAAAGTCTGAAAGTGAATCATAAACTCTTGTTTTGTTAGAGCAGAAACTGTTTTTGAAAACATCTCTGTTGGATTTGGGGGCACAGATGGGCAACGGGAGACAAGAAATTAACTAGAAACTTCCAAGGAGGGGTTAGGCCAGCTGACAAATCAGGTCTGTCTTGTCTTTCCTTTTTCAAATAATTTAAAGGCAAAGATAACACAAATTTTTCAACACATTGAAAGCATTGTCTATGATTAAGGGCTTCAAGTATACAGCTTTTGTTAGCTCTCACATAAATGAGTTTAATATACGGCAAAAACATCCTTAATATAAAAGGTTTGTCAGAGGCCCAAAATGAATTTTAATTTGGCTTCATAGGAATTAATGTAAGCAATGTGGTGATGACTTATTTCTTTTAACATAAATCTTCAGGAAGTATGAGTTATTGAAAATTGTGTAGCTGAAAGAAATCCTCTGAAGTGTTTATTATCTGGGCGATGGTATTGCTCTATTAAATAGGAAAGCAAGCTACATTAAATTTAAAATTCTAAATACTTTACTCTGAGGCAATACATGCAAACACTTTATTTTCAGAACAGTAATGTATCTATTGGGACCCCTTTGGACATCTGAATGAAATGAATATTTCACTTAGAATGTGAACATACTTGTTCAGACTAAAGACTATTTAAAATTTGTCTTTAACACCATGATCTAGGGATTACACCTAAAGAGAGCAGGATTGTATTTATACGCATGCTGCTTGGGAGATGTTTGTTCATAAAAGTTGCTGACTTTGAAAATGTACAACAGGACTTGTTGCAGCAAAAATAAAATGCCAACTTGAGTTTTAGGCAAAGAATTTCAAAAGCAAACTGGAGATGACTTTCCTGAGTTTTCAAATAAGTAGATTAAGAAAAGTTCCTCACTTCTGGATAATACATAAAACCATAACAACTTCAATTGTTTTGGGAATCCCTGAATCAAACTCTATTCATTTCTATTCACCTCTGACACAGGAACTGACCAGTATTTGACAAGATCGAATGAATAGGTGAATAGACAAAAGCATGAATTGGACTCTCTGAAATCTTTTTTTCTGATTTACAAAATCCTTGATCAGTGTGACCCCCCTGTTGCAAGCATGGCCATAATTAAAAGTCAGGGAACTGAAAACATAATTCTAGCTACATGAACGCTGAGTTTTCAAAGTTATTTTACCAGCTTCTCATTTTTGGTTATCTAGCCATGTGAGCACAGGCAAATCCTTACTTCTGCTGCAGGGGATGAGTGCCACAATGTTCTAGAGAGCGGGCGGGCATGGCCGGGGCCCCAGTGAGCATTCCCTGTGCCCTGTGCTGCGCGGGACCAGCTGGCTCTCGGGCACAGTCCCTCTGAACACTCTGTGCAGGTGCAGCACGGGTGTGATTGTATTTTCAGGGCAATGGTCCTCCTGGTTACACTCTGCCAGGAATCTGGGCTCTTTTCCCAGAAATACTGCTTTTCCAAAGGGTAGGTAAATATCCCCTCCCATTACATGGAGGGTTAACGAGATAACCTGAGAATTGCAGGCACACACCCAAGGGCAGTGTTGAGGGTGCATGTGAAGCACGAACGTGTCACGAGGAAGACTGGGGCATGCGGGACACCAGACAGATGACGGGACAGGGCAGCCCACAGACCTCTGCATGAGCCACAGACAGGCTGCTGCAGGGCTGCAGCAGCAGAAGGAACAAGAAGTAAGCATGTCCCAGACACCCACAAATGTCCCAGGCACCCACAAATGTCCCAGGCACCCACAAATGTCCCAGGCACCTACGCTGTTCATGGGGATCTGAGGGAACAGGGGAGGCTGACAGGGGGTTCTGGGAAGAGGTCAGGTGGGTAAGGAGGCCCACATGCATGCATGGATCATGTGACATGTTGGGGCACAATGACAGAGAGCAGAGAAAGAGTGGTTAATAAAACAAGGTCTGTCTTCTCAGGACACAGCTCAGAGAAGGAGCCAGATAAGCAGTCAGCATGTGAGGCCAGTGAACTCGCCTCAGTGCAGGTACGGGCAGGGAGGGGGCTCACGCAGGGGATACCTAACCTTGCCAGGGATGCGGGAAGTCTCTGCCCAGGAAACAACGTGAAGTTTGTCATAGAGATTGAGAAATAGTTTTCTAGATGTAAGTGTAAAAGTTAAGTGCATTCTAGGCCTGAATCAGTGAAAACCTTCTTGAGGCATATTGAGGATTTCAGTGTGAAGGAGCACAGGTGCTGTGAGGGGAGGGGACGAGGGGAGGGAGGGGCTGCACGGGAGCGATGGGACCCACCAGAGGGCTTGGGCAAGGCTGTAAAGGGAAGCACGGATTCCTGTGGCATTTGGATTGACTTCCGTGAGACACGGTGTGTGCGTGCGTGCGTGCGTGTGTGTGTGGTGTACACACACATGCGTACTGATGCTCGTTCCATCCCCTGGGAGTCAGAGCAGCCCTGGAGGAGCAGACTGAGGGAAAGATGGTGATTTCTATTTGTGCATCTTTCTGTGCGGTGGGGCCTCCCTTAGAGACGGCCAGAGGCAGAAGGAATTACAAGGGTAAGGGAATCTTTAACAGAATGAATCCAGAGACCCCCAGGCTGGCACAGGAAGGAATCCCCCTGTGGGCAGGGCAGCTGGGGCCCAGGACTGAGCCGCCGTCCCTCCTGAGCGGCATGCACACCACCTCTCAGCTCCACCCAGCCAGGCCCACGCTTGCGTTTCCCGTTCTCCACATCACCCAAGGACAGAACTTGGACTATCTGCATGGACATAATCTAAGGCCAATGAAGGACATGCCAGAGAATATTCCCCAGAGCTTTCCATTACAAATAGTTTCTCAAACACTGTATAATATCTGAATATCATCAACTGTAAGCACATGTGATTAAAAAAAATTTTTATTGAGGTATAGTCAATATGCAATATTATATTGATGTCAGGTATACAACGCATGCTGAGGTTTCCCATTTTGACATCTCTGAAACTTGTGTGCACCTCCTGGGCACTGACGGCCAGGCAGCGGTTCCCCTAACTGTGTGTGACCTTAGCCATTATTCCTATGACATGATGGGACAGTGAAAACCCCTCTGTATTCAGTCAACAAAACACTTCAGGGATTAAAAAAAAGCTCATTTGATGATTATAAAGGGATCAGTGTCTCAAGAGAACATAACAATCCTAAAAGTTTATGTAACTATTAGAGCTTAAAAATACACGAAACAAGAACTGACAGAGATGCATGGAGAAACAGAGAACTCTGCAGTAGATTTCAATACCTATCTCTCAATAATTGGTAGAAAAAATAGAAAATTGGTAAGGATGTGGATTTGAATGGCACTACCAACCTAACTGATATTCATAGACAATTGGAATACACAGTGCTTGCAAATACACACACAGAACATTTATGACATATTTTTGATCATAAAAAAAAATAAATGAAAGCATATTTTCACACAAAGATATGGAAAGACATGTTATAGCAGGTTACTTTACAATACCCAAAATGTGGAAGCAACCCCAAAACCCATCAAAGGCAAGGGGATCAACAAGCCAGTCTAGCCACACAATGGAAGACTGCTCAGCAGTAGGTAAGCAGATCGTTGATACACAGCATGAATGAGTCTCAACATAACTGCTGCAGGAGAGAAGTCAGATTAAAAAGGAACTTGCATGATTCCACTGAAACGAAATTCTCACAAATGCAAGCTGATCTGTGGAGACAGAAATCAGATCAGCATTTTCCCAGGGAGAAGGGTGGGGGGTTTGAAAGGAAGGAAGCCAGGGAAGGGCAGCCCAAGGAGAGGAGGAAATATTTGCAGGTGGTGGATAACTTCATGTTTTTGATTGGATGATGGCTTTGCAGATATACAAGTATGTCAAACTGTATACTTTTAAGATATGCCAAGTTATTTTATATCAATTACACCTCAGTATGTTACAAAACTCAATAAATAGATATCAGAAATTTGAAATGAAAAGAAAATCTTGGCTCATTGTTTAATTGGCAGTGTTTTCCTTCCGTTCCTAATGATACACAAAACAACGGTGCCTCTTATATTAAGGGGTGTGTGAGACCACATCTAGTACAGGTCTGCTCTTCCCCTTACACATCCTTGGTAACCAGTGTCTGAGAAGACAAGGGACTTTGCAACATAAAACAGATTTTTCAAGTAACAGGCGTAGGGGATAAACAAGCCAGTCTAGCTTTTGACTAGAAGGGTAGTCAAAGGTCTACAGATGGAGAGGAGAATCTAGACGACCTATTATGAAGTGGGACTTCCTTTTCAAAGTACACAGGTGTCATCTAACTCCTGCCTGTTTGCCTTCCCTGATGACAGCTAACTCTCCAAATGCAACACAAAGTCCTTGACTTGTCTAATATTTACCCAGGACTTCCGCTACAGCAGTAGAAAGGTTTTTTGAGTCTAACAGGGTCTGGAAACATGAAGAGATTCTTCAGCTTGAAGTTGGGGTGGGGGTGCTCAGAGAGGCAGTTAAAAAGTAGGGAAGGGATAAATACACGCACTGGAGGAGGGAGAGGTT